TTTGAACTTAGATTTGGATTTGTCCTGCAACAACAAATAATCATAAGTTGTGAACCAAATGTATTAATTACTAACAACAATGTAGATGCTGAATGTTATACCTGAGACCACGATTTCAAGGTTTCGTCATCCAGTGTAATCATTTTATTTATTTCATCCCACCCAGCTCCACTTATATCAAGGCAAGCCTTCATGTCATTGAATTTGTTTCTCAAGCATTTCAAGTGGTTAATGACATGTATATGAGTGAAATCAGTCCTAAATTGCATGTTGATTTTCATCGCTGCCATTTTATAAGCTTCTGCCTTGAAGTTCTTGTCTGGCTTTAGCCCATCTAATGCTAATTCTGCAAGATAAGGAATGAGAACGTCATCGTGCTCTGGAAGCCAAAACTTATTAGCCACACCTCTTGAGTTCAACCTTGCCCCCAGTCCCGATTTCTTATGAGCTAATTTTTTCCCTTTTTTTATTGGTGAAGTATGCTCCTCACCATCAACATCATGAATAACCTTCTCTTCTGAATCACCAGTGTTTGGTGAAAATTAATTAGGTCCACTACTTTGAGAATTGGCTGTGGGAAATAGCAAACCTTGTGGGCTGCTTAACATGCTCACGTATGACATTGGTTGCTGTGTCATTCCACCATAATTAGCATCATATAATGAGAATGGTGAGAATGTATGATGGGGTGAAGAGAAAGGTTGTGGTTGAACAGGCGTGAAGTTCATGTTTATGTTAGCAGCTGGATTTGGCGGAGCATTAGAATGAGAAGGCAGGGGCTGCTTATCTGCCTGATTGTTAACCATACCTAATATATATTGAACAAGTAGACATTATTATTAAAGAAAGCAAAATCAATATATAATATGCATGCATTTAGCAATTTGCGTTAGAAAAGGAATATACGAAACGCCTATATGTATAGAAACAACATGAAAAGGTCGAAGATGATAATCGTAGAAATGTTTAGTACATGCTAAGAAACATTAAAATGGATAGTTGCGAACAGTAAGAAAATAATACAAGTTATTACATCGAGATAGAACAAACATCACATTAAGCTAAACCACTTTCCATTATGTTACCACCATTATACTTTGCACAATAATCCATCCACATCGCCCAAGCAATTTGATCTCGTAGCTCCTTCCATTCATTTCTTGAATCTCGATCCTCTCTGTGTCCTAGTTTGAGTATAATCCACCACACTTGAGTCATCGTCATTGGTCACTTCCCCATTATCTTCATCAATGTCTATATTTTCATTTAAAATATCATCATATGGATCTTCTATAACAATGAAATTGTGTAACACGGTACACGCTAGTACAATGTCCACTTGAGTGGGAAATGGATAATTTGGCTTCGCCGATAGTATTTTAAACCGGTTCTTCAATATACCAAATGTGCATTCAATTTTGATCTTAAACTTGAATGCCTTAAATTAAACAACTCTTTTCTATTCTTTGGTGTCCTACCGGTGTGCTCTTTTAAATGATATCGTACACCGTGATATGGGGATATGAAGCCTGGCATTGTGGTGTATCCCGCATCACATAGGTAATATTTACCTACATTACAATTAAACAATATCTTCATATCACACACTATTGACAAGTATTTAATTTTTTTCTTAATTGTGAACAAGTAAGAATTAATACCATCATAAACTCGAAGCCCGTAAGGCTGTGGTCTCGACAAAGCACCTGTAATATCCTATAGTCATTTGCTGCTCCCTCCCGCCCAGCTAGGACATAGGTGAATAGTTTATTAGGGGTGCATGCTGCTAGGACGTTTTGTGTCACACCTTTTCTCTCTCTAAAACGGGCAACTAGGTTACTGGGTAATACTGCGTCAACGTGTGTGCCATCTATCATACCAATGCAATCCTATAAAAAAATATAAGTTATAATATATTCAATAAAATACATATTCACTTTAAAACAGATGTTGAGGTGTATGTATTATTTTTACCTTGAAGTAAGGAAAATAATTTGGGTTGTTTGCAATCTCTGCAGGAACTTCATTTGGAGCTTGCTTCATATAGCGATCACGTAACCCATTCATTGCTTGTAGGACTTTATTGAAATACTTACTCACTGTTTCTCCCGATCTTATGAACTCAGTCATTATTATTCTATTTTTAGTTTTATGCCCCACTATACTCAGGAACATAGCGAGCTGTTCTTCGACTTGAACATGTCTTGAATCCTCTAATAAACCGTTTTCTTTCATTACTGTGGCAAGTTTGAAAAAGGCACTCGGTCTCATTCTAATGTAAGACCGACAACTATCACTATAGCCTTCCAATACACGTTTGAAGTGAGCTTCTCTGCAATAAATTTTTTGGATTTTTTCCTCCTTCGTACAAGATGAAATTCTCTTGCGCTTAGCACGCATTATCAGAATATATGTTATTATTGTGACCACCGCAGACACAGCTGTATTAGCACACATCCTCTTCAATTGTTCTTCATCTACGTTATCCATCTAAATCCATTGTAAAATTAGCATATATTTACAACTTAACAGTAATATTGTTTGGAAACTAAAGATAATTAAATAACTAATAAAAATATTAAAATCATAAAACCATATATCTACATATCCACAAATATATATAAAGTAGTGAAACTTTCATTTCATATTTTGCACCCTAAGCATGCACGCTGATCAAACAAATATAATTAAGGTTTTCATTCCATGGTTTAGTCATTTGAAGGACTACAACAACAACAACCCCAGAGAACCAAAGCTCAATAATCAACTATATACCAAAACCCTTGATTCATGAGAGATTAGACATGTAGATGCCAAGCAGTTGCGAATGAAACCCCACTGACAAATAATTCTAATAAAATCAGTAATAAACTATATACCAAATGAAACAACCACCGAACAATACCCTTGTTTCAATAATTAAACATATACCAAATTCAATAATTCCACTACCAATGTTAATTTAATCAGAGCAAGCACAATTAAATAATCAAATTAAAAGGGTTAAATTGATTTATACCTGTAGATGCCAAGCTGTTGCGAAGGGAAAAATTCAGAAATTGATGTCATTACCAACAAACCCCACCGGACGGAACAACCAGCAAACCGAAGAACCCAACAATATCAAAGATCAACGGGAGAAGAACAGCATAAAAAACCCAGAAATTGATGTCGTTACCAACAAACCCCACCAACAAAGATCAAAATCGAAGAACAGCGGACAGCGGGAGAAGCCGAGCCCAAAATCTAGGGCAAATCCACAAACCGAAGAACCCAACAACAATATCAAAGATCAGCGGGAGAAGAACAGCCAGCAAGCCCAGAAATTGTTGTCGTGACCAACAAACCCAACCAACCAAAAACAATATCGAAGAACATCGGATCGTGGGAGAAGCCGAGCCCAAAATCTAGGGCAAATCCACAAACTGAAACCCAAATAATATCGAAGAACAACGAGAGAGGAGGTGCGAAGGAACTTGGGAGAGGCGGGAGAAGAAACGCCCAGTTGCGATTCCAGAGCTAGGGTTCGAAATCGAGAGGATTAGGAATCAGAAAACGAAAACAGTGGCAAATGTCAGATTTCTCGCCCAAATCCTCTCCCCCCCTCCGATTTCGGTTTCTTGAAAAAACCACGACTGTAGCAACTTTATGGAATACGTAATCCATAAATTTTTCCCCAGCCAAACTCTAGATTAGGATTCACAAAGATTTCATAATTTACACTTTTGCCACTGTCAGACCACTCAAAGATTTCATAATTTACACTTTTGCCACTGTCAGACCACTAATACTAATCCTTTTCTATAAAAGTGTAAAACAAACAGCCCCTAAATGTATAGGAAGCTCGAAGTTTGTTCTTGGAAATTGCCAAGAGTATTAACTGATCATTGGAAATAGCAAAGGAGAAATAATATAAAAGGGGATGTGTTAGTGTTAAGAAGAAAAATTCTCTAAGGACCCAAAATATGGGCCCAACAGGGAGGACAGGTGAGGTGTCTCCCTTCTATTTGTATATTGAGTTGACCATCATTAATGATGGTCAGCTCATTATACAATAGGAGGGAGACACCTCACATGTACCCCCTGTTGGTCCCATATTTTGGGTCCCTGTAGCAAAGCTCGTGTTAAGAATTAACTGGTCATTGGAAATAGCAAAGGAGAAAGAATATAAAAGGGGATGTGTTAGTAAGAAAGTCAACCTCAAAACTGTTTGGGCGGTCCGACTAGCCGATCAACCAATAGTGAGACTTGATCGATCTATTATCCTCCTTTTCACCAGTTCTGATATGTTATGTTTTTTACTACAGTGAAACTTGACCGATCTATTCTCCTCCTTTTCATCAATTCTAATATGTTATGCTTTTGACTCTTTCTATGTATCCCATTCTAAAGCCGATTGCTGTATCCTTACAATATAATTACAAAATGTCTATATTCAGTAGCTTATATATGTTATTCATAAGAGTTTCTTTTGTAAGCAACTTGTCATAAGCTTCAACAATAACAAATTGGCCTAGAATAGAAGAGATTTAGATTCTCTTTAGTACTCAAATGTAATAGAGAGACAACTACTTTTCTTCTTATACATTGATTTCCTGTAGAGGATCAAAACAATGTTTCATCCAAATGATAATAGGAACAGATTTGAAGAAAAAAAATCTCAATTTTCTCTCATGACTTCGATCATATTTCCCTTTTAATTTCTCTTCCTTCAATTCTCCTTCACTCCATTTTTTTCCTTATCTTTTTCTAGCATCACTTTTTATTATCTTTTCTCTTTTTTTGTCTATCTATTTTTTTAAGTTTATCTCATTTTATTTTCACCATATTATATATATTTTTTATATTAAAAAATTATGATTATTTTCTACCAGAAATAAATTAGTTGCTAATTGTCAACAATAACTTCTTAATAAGAAATTATTTTTCTTTGAAACTTTTTTCTCTACTTTGAAATTAAAATTTTTCTCTGTTTCATTTTTTTTTTTGAAAGGAAGAAGCAGGGTGAGAACCCCTGCTCATATATAAAACTATAAAACCAAACTGTGATGAATATATACAAATGAACACGTAGAGAGTAAGAAAAGGAGTCAGGAGAAGAAATTTTCGGATGGGAGCGGACCTTGTCGTCACCAACCAGAAAATTTCTCCACTGGCTCCTAACTTCCTAGAGAGGAAAACGAAACAAAAAAAGAAAGCCACATCAGGGAAAAGATCAAGGTTTAGTTGAGTTATTACAAAAGATCTAACCATAAGTAACCAATAGCAAAAGGTCTAGAGAAGCCACCACTTGAGAGCACTAGGATTAGCTGGGGAAATTCTCTCCCATATTGTCCTCCGGAACGGATTTGGCCCGCTGGTGAAGACCCAGCTCAACCGCAGCGCTGTGTAAAATGGAAGCTCTTTTGCTGCTGGAGGCAGCTGTCCACAAAAGAGTGAATTGAGCTATATTAGCAGCTATGACATGAATAGGTGTATGAACCTTTTCTAATATGAACTTATTCCTGCAATACCATAACCACCAACAACAAGAAGGAAGGATGACTTTCCATAGGGATTTGATGGTCTTGTTGAGGAAGAAGTCACCTTGAGCAGAGATGAGTGAGTCAATCCCCTCTGGCCAGTTCCCCAACTGTCCATTAGGGAAGAGAAGGGACCAAACTAATCTGGTGAAAGAACAATCATTGAACAAGTGATCGTGGGTTTCTATGTTTGTACTGCACATGGGACATACTGTATCCCCTGACCAACCTTTTTTTGCTAAAACATCTCTTGTGTTTAATTTGTGAAGACTCAAGGACCAAAAGAAGATCTTCACCTTAAGTGGAGTGGGCGACTTCCAGATGAAATTATGAAGGTGGGAGGTAGATCCTACTGAGTTAAAAAAAGAGTAGAGAGATTTTACAGTATACTTGCCTGAATGGTGGTGGTACCAAAAAATCTCATCTCTGTTGGAAACTACAAGAGGATTAACTGACTCAAGCTTATGATATAGTTGTTCAATCTGATATCTGTCTTCCTCTGAAATGCCTCTTCTGATAATGGGGTGCCACTTCCAGGAATTGTTGATGAAAAGGCCATGACTACTGGTGATAGAGGAATTTGCAAAGGCAAGCTGATGAGCTCTGGGGAACAAACTACTGAGAGTGTTATCTCCAGACCATTTATCTTGCCAGAATCTACAAAGATTTTCATCCCCCAATCTCCATCGAACCAAATGAAAGAAATTAAGGATCATGAATAGAGAATAAATCCTTCATTTTTAGGTTATCTAAAGTATGTTTTGTGATTTTTCTATGCTAACATTAAAGTTTCTAGAGAAAAAACTAAAATCAACTTAATTCTTCATTTTTAACAATTGGAATGAAGATCGGGCGTATTTAGAAAAGTATGGTTTTGTTATTTTCTATATCATTCTTATATAAATGGATGAAAATATTTATTAGCCAATGATTCTTCACCACGAACAAGTTCATCCATCTTACAAAAATATAGGAAAAAATCTCATGTGTTTTTTAAGATGCAAAAGTTTGATATATTTCATAGTTTAACCAACACATTTATAAACAAAATTCAACATGAGATGTACAATATATCCACATTAAAGTCTATGCTAAAAAAACATGGAAATAAATTTAAATTTAATGAGGTGATATTATAATTAAATTTAATTATATAAAAATATTCCAAAGCAAAAGATTATAAAAAGAATAAAAAAGAGAAATGACAAAAGATACAAAAGAAAAATAAAAAGAATAGATGCAAGAAAATAAAGAAAAGAGAGGAAAAGGATAAGGAAGTAAGAATATTGGAAAGAAATCATGATTAATGAAGAGAAAAAAGGAGATTTGTTCAATAATATTGTTTCTATAAGAGCATTGATAACTATAATACAATCACCTGAGTAAGTTTCCCTTTTTGTTACTTTTCTCAAAGATCTCCTTTGGAAGACTTCTTGCCCAAATGAGTGCTCTAACTCATTTACGTTCAACATTAACAAAGTCTAGTGTGTTTTCCGAGCAGGAACACTCATCTAAGCAAGAAGCCTTCCCATTGGATCATTAAGTAATCCTCAATATTTCAACCAACAAGCTAGCCTTTGCCTTAAGTTCCTACATAGAGCAAGTTCTTGTGAGCTTGCTCTCTTTATAGGCACTCCATGTGAGTAGGGCCACTAATATGCGTGATCTTTTCCTACGCCTACACCCGATAGCAAGGAGACGCGTTTTCCTTTAATGCATGTGGGGGCCACGAATTTGGTGTGAGGAGATTTCACATGTGAGGCCACACCCGATTGTACTAGTGTAGCTCTATAAATAGCCTTTTAATTTGTGCCCTAGGTGGGTGTGCGAAGTTGAGGCAGAGGAAACAAATATTGGCGGCTGGGCTTGAAGAATCAAAACGCGCAGACCTGCAAGGGACGCCGCTGTGAACTACAACAAAAAAGCTAATCTGCGAGGAACAAGTTTGTCATTAAAAGTCGAGATTTCATCGCCGTAGTGTGTTGGCGAGGAAAAAACTTTGGTCACCATTTCCTCGCGGTAGGGTGGTCAAGAAAAGTTTCTGCGAGGAATATTATAATTTCTCGCGAAACCCTTTTTGCGATGAATATATTCTTTTCTCGTTGTTACTCTTTAGCCTCGATATTTTTCCTCACCTAATCTCATACATTTTTCATCGCTAAACTACAGTTTCCTCGCCAATGATACATGAATAATATTTAATTTATATATAATAAAAGTTCTAAAAAAACTATTTTCGTTGTTGTAAGTATCTTTCAGCGAGAAAATTGTTCCTCGCCAAAGATAAATCTTTAACGAGGAAATTGATTTTATTCATTATATGTATCTTTTTCTCATGGAAACAGTTCCTCAATAAAGGGACTCAAAGACGAGGAAATTTAAATTTGTCGTTGTAGATTGTACCCCGGACTCAAAGACGAGGAAATTTAAATTTGTCGTTGTAGATTGTACCCCATATTCCTCGCCAAAAAAATTCAATTACGAGGAAATTTACATTTGTCAATATAGGTTATATGGTCTATATCGAGGAAAATTACAACAGAAGCGACAACAAAGAAACATTTCTCCAAGTTTAAGTATTTGTCATCAATTGTCACCACAGTACATCAAACCAATTAAAATAAATAAAGCAAGCAAGTTTCTACTATAAGTAACAATGCTAGTCTAAAGAAGCAAGCAAGTTTCTACTATAAGTAACAATGCTAGTCTAAAGCAATAACAAATGCAACACGATCAAAGAAACATTTCTCTAAGTTTAAGTTCACTAAGAACACTAAGCTGATGGACGTTGCCCGAAAAAATTAGCAATAAACTCCTCAAACTTTTTGGCTTGCTCCTCCAATCTTTAAATTACCTCATTTTGCGCATCGATCTTTTCTTGTTGAGTTCCTACAAGTTGTTGGGTCTCTTGAAGCTGTTCCTCATTTTGCGCATCGATCTTTTCTTGTTGAGTTCCTACAAGTTGTTGGGTCTCTTGAAGCTGTTCTTGCAACTCTTTATTCTTTTCAGACATTTCACTCATCGAAGAACGAGGGAACCTTAATGGTGGTGGTCTAGGGCCAAAACCACAGCCCTTAATCTTAATGGTGGTGGTCTAGGGCCAAAACCACAGCCCTTAATGTAGCCTGATTTGACTTTGAGAACTTTTGTACAAATTTCCTCATTTGTCATTGTTCGAGTTCCATCAGGTTGAGTGGTATCTGCTCACATCTTTATCATTTGATCCTATAAGTAAAAAATATATCCAGTTCAATCATATGCAACTTCTCAATTACAATCTAATCAATATAATCATCTTTAGAACAATAATATCAGTTTCACCTATATTCTTAAAATATTATAAAAGCATGGGTGGGTGAAAGAGTGGAGTGTGGGGGAGTGTGTTTATTGTTTTTTGGGGGTTGTGTACATGGGTGGGTGGTTTTTGTAATGGTGAGGGGTATTGCAGCTAGAAACCTTAGCGATTAAATATGCAACATCGTGTCCAAGCCCACATTCCATGTCAGTACACATAGGTTGCACTCACAGATGATAAATTTTCAAGTAATTTGCAGTATTGCAAAACTTTTGCAGGAGAATGCCTATGACAATGGTTACAACTTATATTCAGTTCTCAGACTAAAACAGGGTTCTGCAGGAACTGACCTCATGAAACGCAGATATTATGCACACCAATAAGATACAAACATGAAACAATGTTATGCCACTATGCTATTGATATAATATAACACAACCAGGGGCAAGAAACTGATTGAATGATTAACAAAAAGTTCATTAACTGTTTCTCTCATTATTCAATTACATTTTGGTAGGTCATTTAATAGTGAAGATAATTCTCAGTACTCCTTTCATAAATGAGCAAAACTTGACCAGCCGTAAATTCTATTCATATGGAAACATACTTTTGGTTCACATTTGTTAACTTTTATATTGTGTGAGACATGTTTCTATTGCTCCATTATTGATTTTCTAAATTGTACTTGTACATCATGGTGTTAAAATGTAACAAATAGCTTGTGTTTATTTCAAACAATTGTTAGAATAATTAATGAATAACTACCAACTAATATAAACAAATATATGCGCAAATGTGCTAAACGGTTATTTTATGTGTGCACAATCACACACGTGTTCGATCATGTCCCTACTTCAAACAAAGTAGTATAGAGTAGGAAACAGAAGCGGAAGCAGCAATCTGGGTCTCCAAGAGTATTACCCATAAAGAGCACAGCAGACTGCTGTTTAGCTACAGAAGCACAGTACGTCCTTCTGGAGCAGTTGGTGAAGGGCAAAATTCTCCGCCATACGGCAGCGCAGGGCATTGTCAAGCCGCCGACATTCTGATTCTAGATATTTGCTCTTCATCTCAAGTTCTTTCACATACATCTTCTTCCTCTCCCGTGATTGCATGGCAAACTCTCTATTCCTTATCTGCCTGTAAATTTCAAGGGTAGAATGTAATATAATATATAACATTGATGAAATCAGTAATTTTCTCATACATAAAACCACAAAAACACCTAAGCAGTATCTCTAACTACCCTTAATAAATCAAGTTCAGTTGACGTTTTCACACTGAACTGAACTATTGACATTTTCACACTGAACTGGATCCACACACAGCACCATCTCATGGAATGAAATATACCTTAGATATTGTAAACTTAAGCAATATTCATTCTATCCGCAAATCTCTTACCTTTCACATGCAGAAAACCTATTCTACAGACTAACCAAGCCTTCCAATCAGAACCCAAAAAAAGAACAGGGACAATGAGAAACTTCATGGTCCAGTTACGTAATTGCGAAACACCTTTGTAAATTCTGGGGATATAAATAGCCTCAGATATCTCTTATTTAAAGACGAATAATCCGTCTCAGCATCCACCAAATTGGACTATTTACCTTGGTAGGGCCTGATGCATTCCCCTTGTAAACCTCTTTACTGATTGAATACTCCAGAATCTCCTTTGCCCATTCTGGTGGACTTTTCTCCAAAGAAGAGTATACGCAATTTCTAATTCTTGCTCCCACATTAGTAGGCAGTTTTCTTACAGGTTCCAGTGGTTGTGCTCACTCAGGAAGATTGCTGCTTGTAATGATTGCTGGTTCAAGTGTACCTGCTGCATCAGAATCTTTGTGGTTGATTGCTGGTTCAAGTGTACCTGCTGCATCAGAATCTTTGTGGTCAACAGGCAAAACATCACTCTTCTGTTTTGTAGTACAAGATAAGCTGCATCAGAATCTTTGTGGTCAACAGGCAAAACATCACTCTTCTGTTTTGTAGTACAAGATAATTGCATCTGCCTCTGCAAGAAGCTGAGATTCACAAACATCAGTATATAGTTAGTACATTACGAACATAATTCTAAAACAAAATTAAACAATAAAGAAAAAACTGTTGTCCAAAATGTTCAGCAAAGAGTAGAGAATATAAAAATCAAATTAGTAGGTTGAGTAAGATAGAAGCACTCCAAATTAAACTCCCTCGTTTGTACGGTCTGTTTGAATCAAATCCTATAACCACATCAATATGATTTTTCTAAAACTAAAATAAAATCTCAACAAATCAACATATCATAACTTTAAGAGGAAAAATTTAAATATGAAAAAACAAAAAGGCTACCTATAGTAGTGATCGCATCTTGATTTTCTCGACGACAATGGTCGTTCATAGCCAGCTCGTCCCTACAATAAAACTTTAATTAACATGAATTAACATGAAGTAAGTGCAAAGTTAGTATAAAACTTGATGATATGTTTATAAATACTGATTAAACATTTGTGAAGATACCAGTTGACAAACATAATAGGACTATGGACAAAAGAAAACACATGAAAACATTCAGTTTTTTACTTAAAGATATTTACTAATTGTAATACTATGATTTTTTTTACATCTTATTTACCATAATTAAAAATTAAACACATCACCATGTTAGATGTCTCTCAATACTTATCAGTGAAAGACCCCCAGTATGCTTAATTTGGAAACAACAAAAAGGCATAGAAAATTGTACGAACCAATTTACCCGTGTAATGGCCGCAGACTTTGAAACTCCTCGCCACCCCCATCTTTGGTAGCAGAAGAAATAGCAGCAGCTTCAGCGCAGGCCGAAGATTCACCTCTCCCTGAAAACTTCCCCTTATCGCTTGCCATGACTTACCAACCAAGGAGTGAAGATCTTTGTATCAATCCCCACTCTAAAGCAGTACTCCACTGAACAGGGTTTCCAAAGCATCATAAAGAAAAACCTAGAAAACTTTCAAAAGAGTGCTCCACTGAAATCAACAACAAAGACTGTCCCAAAGAAAATCAAATAAAGAGATATTAATAATTCGCCCAAATTTTATCAAATTGGTGGCGTAAAAAGCTACAGATTCAAAAGAAAACGCCCTAAAACACCAATTTCAACAAAATCGAGGTTCAAGAAAACAAATCGGCGATGAGTTTGAGAACTGACCGTCAGGGAAGCGACCTTCGGGAGCGACGGCAAGAACGGGAACCGGTTATCCTTCAAGCCTTACGTCAATGCGTCGACGGTGCCGAAGGAGGCCGACGTGAAGG